CAGATTCCTCATGAAGAATAAAAAATGTTTTTATTATGTTTATGTTGTATGTACATGTATGTGCACATATGTGTAGGCACCCACGGGGGCTAGAAAAGGGCATTGGATTTCCAGGAACTGGAGTTATAGGTGGTTGTGAGCGGCCCAGTGTGCACAAGAACTGAAGGGGTAGCGTGTGCTTTAACCACCGTGCCATCTCTCCAGACCCTCACAAGGATTTGAAGAGACACTTTTGAGAAAGGTGCTCAGAGGTGAGGCGACAAGGATGCTTTTACTGCACTAGTGACTTAAACAACAGAAATTTACTTTCATACTTCTGGAAATTAAAAGTCAGAAATCAAGATGGCGGTCGGGTTGGCTCCTTAAAGGCTATGTGGAAAGGCCTGCTCAGGCCTCTCTCCATGTGCTGTAATAACCACCTTACCCTGTGTCTGTTGGCTTATTGTCCTCCTCCTCCCTCCAAGCATGTCTATCTTTATGCTTTATGTCTAAATGTCTCTTTCTTCTGAGTACACCAATCCTATTGGATTAAAGTCCACTCTAAGCCTTATTTTTGCTTTTTTGTTTTGTTTTGTTTCTACATAGCCTTGATTGTCCTGGGACTCACTCTGTAGGCCAGTCTGGCCAGATACTCACAGAGATCTGTCTTCCTCTGCCTCCCCATTGCTGGGATTAAAGCTGTGCATCACCAAAATCAGCTCTAAGGCTTCATTTTCACTTGACTATCTCTGCAAAGACTCTGTCCTCAGGTAAGATCAGCTTCTGAGATACAAGGGGTTTAGAAATTCAAATAGCTTCTACCTGTCATTTCCAGGCAATAATCATCATGATGGCTCCATTTCGTCACAGCAGGGAAGTGGTTTGTTAACAAGAACTATCAAGAATAAAAAGTTGAGCTTCCCCAAACTCCGCCATAGCTCTAGCTGTCCTATAACTCGTTCTGTAGACCAGGCTGCCCTCCAACTCAGAGATCCACCAGTCTCTGCTTCCTGAGTTCCAGGACTAAAGGTGTGTGTGCTACAACATCTGGTTAAAAAGTTGAGCCTTTAGAATCAAATAGAACAACTTTGTTGTTAGGGCTCTTAGCCAATAGTCATGTGAGTTAATCTCTGCCAATCAGTATACAAAACAGAAACAACAGGTTTAAAGACAAAATACAAGGTGAGTGTCAGTAAATGTCCAACACCTATGTCTTTTGGAGGGAGGCCCGCAGGTCAGAGAACAGCTCTTAGGAATCAGTTCTCCCCTTCTACCAGTGAGTTCTGGTGACAGACTCCTGCGATCAGGCTTGGTGGTCAAATTCACGTGATCTCCCTAGCTCCAGTGTCTAACATTTTGAAGCCATGACTGCTTATATCACGGGCCTGTCTCTCAGTGAATCACTTTGGGAACTAGATAGCCCTTCAGGGCAACATGGCATTTTCTAAATGACTGCCTAAAATTATTTGGATTCCCGTAGAGGTATAACTTCCCTGTGGTTCATGGATGGATAATTCCACTAGCAATAAGAAGGAAGAGTCTGTGCATATATAATACAGGTGTGTTTCCCAGAAGTGATTCTCAGCCTATGGGTGATTGAACCCATTGCTGCAGAACCTGTGGATAAAAGAGGGAGCCACCGTGGATAGGCACACACAGCTAAATTACTATGCCCCTCAGGTTGTGAGCTGCTCCAAGAATACGTCCAGCTTCCTTCTCTTGTACTGTGGGGCTTCCTCTAAACAAGGTCAGAAATTAGCTTAGCCTTGTCTAGGCTTATGTTCTCTCCCCTTTTAACAAACACTACCTGTTTTTCTCCTGCTGAGGGCTAACGCAAGCTTTCAGGGCTTGGAGGAATACAATTTCATATCTAGTCACAGATGGGATAAGAGACATTTGGACGGTTGTTTCCTTAAGCTTTAGAATACAGAAATTCTGGCTTATTATGTACAGGTATGTGCCATCTGAGGAAAGCCCCTTCCTCAGTTGTGGCATCAGAGGGGTTAAGAATCGGTAATTTCAATTGAGATAGCAAGCGCCATCCCACGTTTCTTGAGTTCCTTCTTCGGCATCCTTGTGTCACCGAGTGGTCGCTCAGGGTAACCTTTGGCCCACCCACAGTAGCTGACCTCTGTCAGATTTATACAAGAGGATTTGTACTTGACCCCCATGGAACTTCCACGCATGGCCCTTGCTCTAGTGTCTGTCCTCCTTCAAGTGGGCTGTTCTGTCACCCTGGTTTTTCCTCCCAAGGTAGCTGTCCCAGCTGCTTCATCTCCTCGGCTGCAAACCCAGACTTCAGCTACCCTTGCTCTCCTGCATAGAATACATACAGTTACTTATGAGTGGGGCTCCCAATAGTGCCCTGAGCAGGTGAGAGTAGCCACAGCCATCACCAGCCCCCTTCTGTATATTGTTTATTTGAATTCTAGGCCAGGCAGTCATTAAGGACACAACAAATGTTGGCGAGAACATGGACCAAAGCAATCATGTCATGGACACTGCTGGTGGGGATGTAGCCAGTCATCTTGATTAAAAAACTGAAAACAGATTTGCCATGTGACCCTACTATGTGACTGCTGGGTGTTTTAACAAAGAACTTCAAGCCTACATGTCATAGAGATTCATGCATACTACTGTTTCCTGGGTCACCAGTCACAGTAGCTACGTTACAGAACCGACCTAGATGTCCGGCAATGGAGATGAGTGGATAAAGAAAATACTGTACAAAGGAATTGCTTTTCGGCCATGAAGAAGAATGTTATTCTCAAAAAAGTTAATGCAAGCAGGATAATTATACTTACCTAATTAAGTCAGTTTCAAAAAGACAAATCTCATTGTTTTCCTCATTTGCGTCCTGAATTTTATACAAGTACCTAAAATCATATCTGCATAAATGACAGAAAAGTGGTCTTGAAACTGTCTAGGGAAACAATGGGGACCAACAGGAGTGGGCAGGGCGGGGACAAGAAAGACAGAGCAGAGGGTACAGGGGGTTATGCTCAATGTATAATACATACTTGTATAAAAATGCTATTCTACAAATAGTAGCACATACAATAATTATATAAAGATGGAATTGTAAGCAAAGCTAGCCCAAGATCAGGGCATTGTTTATGTTTCTTCCTTTCGGAAGTAGAGGGATAGTTACACTATATGGTAAGATCACTCTGTTGACTCATCTTGAGCTGCCTCTTGTACGAAGTACCTTAGTGTGTCTGCAGTGCAGCTCCAAGCCCTATAATTGAATCTTGGAAGCACAGACAAACCTGGGCCTTTGTCATGTTCCTCCTCGGTTTGAACTCACAGAAGTATTCTTACCCAGGACCTGTCTCCACCTGTTCCTTCCTGTGTCCACACACCTGTTTCTGGGTCTCTAGGGAGGCTGTGGGTGGAACACCTCTCTCAGACCTTCCCAGTTTGGAGGCGAAAGAGGTGCCTGGAGGGAGAAGGGGGAGGGATTGAGAGCTTGGCAGTTAGGGATCTGAGCAGAAAACTGTTCCTTATTTTGTTGTGAAACATGAGAATGTCAGTTTGTATTGGTGCTTGAAGAGAAGCTCTTTCCCGGAGGTTTGCAGTAGGGGTTGGAGAGCAGAAAATAAGAGAAGCATTTGCTTGCTTTTCTATGCCGTCCTCTTAGAGTCCCAGGGCCTGGGGCCTGCCCGATGGCTCTGTGGGTAGTGGCGATGGCTGGTAAGCCTTATTCCTTGAGTTTCACACTGTAGAACTCTTGGACTCACGTAGTTAAAGGCAAAAACTGACTCCCACAAGTTGTCTTCTGGTCTCCACATGTGTGTTGTGATACACTCAATCCCCTCTTCTCACACACACACACACACACACACACACACACACACACACACACACAC